GTGCGTGTGTCTGCGTGTCTGTGCGTGTATCTGTGTGTCTGCGTGTCTGTGCATGCATACACGCATGCCCGTGCGTGTGTCTGCGTGTCTGTGCATGCATACACGCATGCCAGCGCGTGTGTCTGCGTGTCTGTGCATGCTTACTGGCACACCTGTGTGTGTGGCTGCATATCTGCACGTGTGAGCGAATCCTCATCGCCCTTGCATTCCCCTGCTGCAGTGCCGACAGCGCCGGAGCCGTTCCAGACGCTTGGCATGCTGTACGAGGAGATGGGCGACGTCGAGCGATCGCTGCAGTTCTCTCTCATCGCCGCCCACCTCAGTCCGATCGACGTCGAGGAGTGGGTGAAGCTCGCCGAGATGTCACTGGAGCAGGGCAACATCAAGCAGGCGGTGACGTGCTACTCGAAAGGTGCGCGCCCGGCCACGAGTGGGTCTCCTGTATGGGGGGGGGGTTGTCGTCACAGGCAATGATGTTCGAAGGCGTAGTGACATGTCATATATATAGTATATATTGGAGAAAAAAAATAAATATATATTTTAGTTCAATAAAGTGTAATTTATTGATTGAAGAGCAGTGATTTTCGTCAGCGAGGCGGTGTTTTGGACAAATTTCTGTGTGGCGGCTGAGAATTTGAGCGAGGCGGCCTCGCTCTTATCAATGCAGGGAAAACACTGTATATATATATAGTTATATAGTGTATATATATGTAGTGTATATATAGGTGTAGTATATAAACACTACACTCCGCTGTTAATCTCTAGCCCTTACTTAGCCTTCTGTGTCTAGTTCTACAGTGGTGTATGATATTATCTTGATATTATCAGGAGTACGTGGATTATATATCTCCAATTCATGTTCTCCTGATATTATCATGAGCTGTTAATACGTAATGTATCATTAGCTCTTGATGTTATTATTGTACGCAATTATATCAGTGCAGTTTAATGATGGTGTTAGACTTGCTGGTTCTGAACGTTGTTTATGCCACGTGCTACGATACAGGTGTGCACCCTACTGAGCAATCTCTGCTGTCTCAATATAGTCTAGTTCTGTATAGTATATATTCTGAGCAACTTCTGCTGTGAATCTCTATAGTCTCTATAGTCTCTAGTGAATCTCTATAGTCTAGTTCTGACAGCTAGGGATGGTTCCAGTATAGCTAGCAGTACCAATAATGTTAATATACTGGCTCGTCTTGTGCATGGTGTATACCATGTTCTGCTATAAAAGTGTGCAAGTGGCGGAGGGGGCTGCTATGAATCTTTAGCCCTAACTCTGATCATAGAACCCAGGACCCGGTTCCACAGTCGTGGGTTAACTCTTAACTCTGAGTTAAATTCCTTAACTCAGAGTTAAAAGTTAACTCAGAGTTAAATTCCGTTTCACAGTCGTGGATTAACTTTAACTCTGAGTTAAATATGCCTAACTCAGAGTTAAAATTTAACTCTGGTTCGAACCTTGATTAACTCTTAACTCAGGGTTAAAAATGGCTGATTTTTACCTTTTTAACGCCCCAGTTCCCGAAAAACAAAAAGAATATCGCAAACACGACGACCCATTTTTTTCGACACTTCCTGTTAACTCACATAATGTTTATCGGTTGAAATGAACAAAGAACACCCTCACCAGTACCCCTGTCGATTTTAAAGGGGCTACCCCCACATTTACGAAAATTACATAGGTTTCAATGGGCCCCATGTTCTCTATCCTTGAACCGACGGTACGGTAGGCCTAAGATTTTCATAAGAATCTGCATAATTTATACATAAGAAACAACTTACATTTGATTTAGTTATAGTTAGTCTTCGGTATCATCATCCTTTCTAGACTTTGAGAGATTAGTTCGTACCGAGGTTGAGTTTAGCGCTCTAGGATACTAATACTAGAGCTAATTGTTATGTTATCTAGTACTGCCCGTGCTTCCGAATGCATCGGCGCGTTGTAACCATATTTATTGGTACGTTTGTTGTTCGCTGACCGAGCCGGTGCGCCTATAGATGGGTAGCGCAACGACTGATGTTATTCCATCCCTATCAGTTGGTTGCAGTTATAGATATTGTAAGATTGTAACCAATCTCCTGCGATCTCTCTGCCCAACAACAACG